TGGATTTTTATCCTATATTTCGTTTACCCCTTAAAACTTAGTATGGGCATTTTACTATTAACTTCATAAATTCATAAGCTACACTTTATATTTTATTTGTGTGGTTTTATTGGTTAAGAATACAAAAAGCAAAACTCATAATCTGATATTATTTTACATTAATCTCTGTAAAAAGATATTCACTCAAAGCAACAAATACCATTGACATTTTTGGACCTATGTCGCAGAATTATCTATTGATCTTCAACTCACGTCTCTATTTTCTGTATTCATAACATTTTTTCCCCTTTTTTTAACAGTATGCTTTGCTAACCTTAAATGCATTTTTGCCGTGTCTACAATATTCCATAACTAAGACATTATGATCAAAAGCATTTGATTTAATTTCTAGAGAAATTCCTATTTACTGCCTTCATTTTTATATTGAAGATTACTAGTAATTTTTGCGATCCTAGGAACAGTGAGCAAACGTCAAATCGCTAAATACGATATTTAAATGAAACGTACTCTCTCAGGATTAAAACACCAACTATTTAATTTTTCGATTCAGTGAAAACCTGGTCTCAAAATAAAACCATACTCTCGACACCGATGAGATGAGGTCAACCACAGTTCGAAGCCTTTCAGTCGGTAAAAATATATATATTTATGTCATTGCACATATAGATAATCGTAAATAAATCTGAAAACAATTAAGCAAAAGAGTATATGAGCTAGGGCGAGTGTTAGTTTATTAATTTTGTAATTTTAAAGATTAAAAAATYCTTGAAAAAAAATCAGGGAATTCACTTGTTTTGAGCGAAGGGCGAAACTGAAGAATGAATTTTTAAACTGAAAAAATAGTTACGAAAAAGGGCGGATGTATTGAAAAGTCTTTATTTCACGTTTCTATTGTTTTTTTTTTGCTACAAGTTCAATAATATTGGGAATGTTTCTGGGGTTGAAAACCTTTTCAAAAAGCTTGCATGAATTAGGGATGAGGAAATGAGTGGAAGTGGAAGGGTTTTTCTTYTGATGCAGCTGTCAATACGAGGTAAAATATCGACTACACGAAATTTGAATTTGAAGAAGTTTGTTTACGAGAAAAATATTCATGTTTGAGAAATATTAGGCATAAAAAACTGCCATTTTAGGGAATGCAGTTTAAATAGGTCGAAGTATATAAAAAAGAGTTTTATTTTATGAAGAGGAAATTCGATTATTAGTTTCAGACGTTGTATTATGTATATCACAGTCCAGCAAAATGCAAATGAAGAAGAATCTTAGACGCAGTTCAAACTCCGTCCAAATATTTTAAAAAAACATTCTCTCTATGGATGGTGTTTTCTTTATTGATTTCAAAAATCTTTGTCTGCGTATTTTTTCGAGGCCGTCTGAAGATGATGCTTTAGAACTCGAATCAAATCCGTCTGAATGAACTATATCAACATTCCAAAATTCGATCGGAGGCAAAAATGCATATATTTACACAAGATTACCATCGAAAAATCTAAAATCCCTTCCCTTAACGTAATGTTTAATTGACAATTTAAAAGACTTGAATAGGATATTTTCTGTGCCCAGCGAAGCGAAGTTTTACTCCTTATGATTTCAATAATAATATCGCTCATCGTGCTCTGAAGAATGAGAATCTCTCTTATTCAAAACCGTGTCACGTCACCAGTGAATTATTGAAGTTTTTTTTTAGGAATAAGACTCTGTAAAACGAGAAAAATTACCTGATCTTCGTCAAAAAGTTCTTTGACATTAGGGTTTCCTGAAGCAGTGCTTCCATCTTCTTTAGTATTAGTATTGAATTTTTGTTCCGTTTTCCGCTCTTCAGAATCTAAACCAAACCGACTCCAATCCACAGCTGTTTTATCTTTGCTCTCCGCCATCCTTGTCCTCGTGGATTTCTCAGATCACAAGGGGATATCAAGCGATACGRCCAAGCGATGGGATTCCATTAAAGAAATCCTAGTAAAAACAAAGAACTTTTACTAAGTAATGATTCCGTGCGGAGAAATCGTTCACAACGATGTACTAGTAGCAGCTTGATCATAATATCATGCTTCACGCATGATCGAGCTTACATTGTACATTGTTAATTGTCAGCCAATCAACGGTAACACTTACGTAACGACCAAACAAGCCTACGGGATCGTTCGGGATTTAGAAGACAAAACAACTTACGCTGTATTTAAAGAGTGATGTAACCCCAGTCATTTAACTATTGTATTYAAATATATATTTGTCCTTTATTATATTTTTGTAGCTAGAGAAACGTTATGATAACATTTGGACGTGAAATTCAAGGCAAATACTCGCCCGCCAAAAATAGTCGTTTTTATGATTTTATATGTTACGAGTCAAGCAGTGTAATTTTCCCGCCATATCTCGCGCTATTAGGTTACGATAGCATAAGCGCGCATATAGCCTAAGGAAAGGAAATTAAGAGACAATGCACGTTTTTAGTTAGTACAAATAGATAGATAGACAATTAGTAAGAAAACATCATCTTTATCTTTGATAACATTGTTAATGAATAGTTTTATTTGACGTGTGACAGTATTTTTCTCCCCCGCTACTACCAAAACGAAGGGCAGAAAAAGACCTCTATTAGCAGGATACAGGGATTCGTGRTCGTGATAGTGAGGTCGCGTCGCGCGTTTGACTATAATTCCACACAAAATCGTTTCACATGTTGAAAATCACTATTTCAGTGGTATCCTATGCATGATTCTAATKATGAGTGAGGTCAGTGGATTGATCACATTGGGGGTTGATGGGCCATGAAAATGTGAGTGTCTGTTATCTCTCGCCCCATGTAAGGGAATCCGGACTTATGGTGGATTCCGGATTCCAAGCGCTGGATTCCGGATTCCGAGACTCTGGRTTACGGATTCCAAGGGTCTGGATTCCGGATTCCAAAACTTTTGTATTACGGATTCCGGATTCCGTATCGTTAATTTTCAGATACTTTCTCTGAAAATTATATTTGATATACTTGCCAGTATAAGTAGAATCGTCTATCAATTAAATCAGCATCTGATGACAGATATTCTTGGTCGAGATAGTACACAATGGGGGAGGGGCTACATCGGTTCAGTCTAGGTCGAGGCGATAGCATTTGAGTGTATACTTTGAATTTCAAAGTAGCGGATTCCGGATTCCAAAGCCTAAAATTTCGTGGATTCCGGATTCCCTTACATGGGGCGAATCTATCTCGACTCTGCCTTAAAAGAGCCTTTAATATTTGCGCGCGTTATTCAAAATAAACGGCGTCGTCCCACACGGAAAAGAGCGACCACTAGAGCCTACCTATCTGAGATAACATCGATATATCAGGTCTGCTGGTCATAGCATGGGGTTAATAATCTAAGGCCTAGGGGCCGACTAACCTCTCCCTAAGGTTTTTGCCGAGCTTCCTGACCAGGCTGTAATTCCTCTCGGGGATAGCGGTGTCGGGGTAGAAATCTCTGGCATAGCCGTAAATGCTTCGTGYTGCCATACGACGCTTCAGCATTCAAGGTCTGGGAGTATGGTCTCCGGTTATTTTTGATAAGCAATTAAAAAATAATCCCCAAAACCAATCTTTTTAGCAGACAGATCATTTGAAATAGAAAGGACCAGAAAGACTATTAACTCTGGGACCAGAGGAATCCTAAGTCAATTTTCGACAGCAAATACTTGTTCCAGTCTTTGACAAGAAAAGTCGACATGTTTAAAGGCCCTGTTACACGTTAAAAAAATTTAGCTGAAACTTGCTTGCAACGATATTGCGAGACAAGTTTCACGGGGATGTTACACGGGCCGGSGCAATTTAGGCTTTGTGAAACTTTCGTCGCGAGAAAGTTTCACGAAAAGTAGAACCGCTTTCTACTCGTGCAACCGAAACTTGTGTCGGGAACAAGTTTCAGAACGAAATTGCGCGGTATAACAACCCCGTGAAACTTGTCTCGCAAAGCCATGGCAAACAAGTTTCAGCTAGAATTTTCAACGTGTAACAGGGTCTTAAGAAACTAAAGTCGACGTCTACTGTACTAAACGTTAACTAGTTCTCTTCATAGCCTATACTCCATGGCCATGATTATCTCATGATTATAAGATAACTTTTATAAATCTCGCGTTTTGATTGGTTGGGAGTTCCTGTGGATTTGGCGGGAACCTTTCGAGCCAAGACGCGCGTGCTCTCCTCCTCCCTACCATGTGACTACACTCGCTTCTATTACATATACTCAGTGTACTAAAAATGAGTTTATTCGTCTTCATATTTTCCCATCGATCCTTTACATTCCTAATAATAAATAGTAGTTTTTTAATATTTCTTATTGCTTTCCCTGTGAACGATTTGTCGAAGCTAGCGCAACTTTGGAGCCTGTTGTTTTGCCGATGACATTGCAGATGAATTGGCCAGCTTCTATTAGTTTGCGCAAGTCCACACCCTGCAAMGAGCAATAAGAAAATAATGATAGAAATTATAGCAACATTGAGGACACTTGAGTCGGCAAGTGCTTTATTTGTAATGGAGTAAGTTTGGCGACACTTTCAGTCACTGAATTATTTTGCAAGTTAGGGGTAGACCCCTTGCATGTGCGCATGTGGAATTTCGTTCTCATGAGAATCTATAGGAAAGCTATTGTTATGTCCTCAAAATTGAGCTCGTTTCCAGAATTCCTTATCTCGTATTGTGCATGTTCATCTATGTTCATCTAAGTTATGAACTTCTGATAGTGATCAGTGTTTGACCTGACCATTTGTAGTCTCCCCCACAGCCGCTTTCAGTGTCGTCACGTAACGCTCCTCCCCTGAGTAGCAAGCGTTGCGTGACGACACTGAAAGCGGCTTTGGGGAAGACTAGACCATTTGGTGCAGATAATGAGATTCAAAGACTTTAATCAAAATGTCTCAAATCTCTGGCTCGTTCTCTTTTCTCGTTCAAACCGTATCTTTTCTAATGACTGTCAGTAAAATAGAGCACCAATAAAGCAAGATGKGCAGGGACAAAGGATAAAGGCTAGAAGAGCAAGAAAAATAAAGCACCAATGAAACAAGATGTGCAGGGTCAAAGGACAAAGGCTAGAAGGGCAAGAAAGACAGTTGGGAGGAGATTTCCAAGCTACAAACAGGAAGACATGCAGTCACTCCTATGTCGGTATAAATACTCACAGTATTAAATCCCATTCCATGTAACATGTACACCACATCTTCCGTTGCTACGTTACCAGAAGYACCCACCGCGTAGGGACACCCACCTAAACCACTGACCGAAGCGTCTACTGTCCGGACACCCACCTACATAACGAGAAATAGATCTTCAGCCCACTATTGATAGAAGGAATGACTAAGAGTAATGGAAGTAGACAAGGGGTGGGTACCTTTGACCTCTTCTTTTCCAATGGATGTGGAACTCGTTTTTGGGGAGGGGAGGGGTGGGGGGGGGGGGGTCAATTTGTCACGCAGAGTGAAAAATATGAAGATAACGTTGTCCGTCACCCGTTACCTGTACAGATGTCAATATGTTTGCTATGGCTTGGCCGTATGTATCATGGCAATGAATTGCTAAGTTTTGAACAGGAACATCTTTCATGACAGCCTCAAGCATATATCCTATAGAACCTGAAACATCATGTAATATACTCTGTGGTTAAGAAAATCCAGCAATTATCTGTGCAATGCAATAGATTATTTTGAAGGCTAAAATACAGTAAAGTGCATTGTTTTCGTTTCGCGTTTCGTCGTTCAAGTAGGCTCACGCGAAGGTTGCAAAAWCCTATTTCACACGCGCAAAATATCATTGCAATATGTCTCGCGAGTTTCGCAATCATTTGCAGGAAGCCTGAAGATTTTCGAGCAGCAAAAAATTTGAAGACCTAACTATTGTGCAAGCGTATTGTTACAAGCATGAAATTGCAACAATGTTTTGCGAAACCAATTGCAAGAGAAATATATTTCAAAACATTTCCTTCAACGACACACGTAGTTTAATGCAATTTGTACTCGTACAAAAACGTCCGTCGGCTGAAAACCTGAAGGCCACTCGCCCTAAGATATGTTGACAAGTTTACAKGATGAAATTTCCGTAGTGCGCACCGTACTATTGCAGAAGAAGATCCAGAAACATTTCATGCGTGAAACAGATGTAGACTTTTAGAAATACCTGGTGCTCCAACGCCTATCGTATCTCCGAGAGAAATCTCATAGCAACCCATATCAAACATCGTACGAGACACCTTTAATAGAGAACAAATAATGGGCGTTCAGTTGTTGTTGTTGTCAGTGTATTACTCAAAGTAGGGAAAGTCACATCGTACATTACCTCCCCACACACCCCACCCCCTAAAGTATACTAACCTCTGCAACAGCTTTTGGACTGACAGAACCTTCATATGGACAACCGACAACACATGATACATATCTRTGAAAAAATACAAGATTAAATTAATTGGTAATTCCTGTCTGTCCGTCCGTCCGTCTGTCTTGTTCATCCAGCTTCCGCCTTTCGTCCTTTATTCCTTCCTTCCCTTCAGTCCTTCCTAAGATACTCACCCTCTAACACGAACACCTTTCTTTTTTGCTGCCTCACATACTGCTTCAAACCTCTGAAGGCTTTCTTTTATAGAACAGTTGATGTTTTTTCTAAAAAAGTCACAGGAATTGTTATGAGAAAGACTTTGCAAAGACAAGACTTTACAGAGACAAAGGTTTTTCTCAAGCTTTCATGTTCACTTGAATGTACCTGCTAAAGGATTCAGATGCAGCACCAAAAATGGCCACTTCCTCAGCCCCTGCTTCAAGCTGAAACAGAAAAATCATTTTGAATTTTATCAAACCATCTTGAATAAAAACTAAGGGAATGGCTAACTTACTCATTCAATATTGGAATTTAGAGCTTAATTAAGTATTGTGGTGGGAGGAAAACTTGAAAAACCCAGAGAAAAACTCTCAAATCAAAGGAGAGACTTAACAAACTCTACTCACATGTGATGCTGAGTCCAGGAATAAAACCCAAGACCCCAGAGGTGTGAGGCGAGTGTACTACCACTAAGCCATCTAAAGGCAGTGCAAATAAGCCCACTTCCTTCTCTCTCTCTCCYTCTCTGTCTCTCTCTTTCTGACCCTCTTTCTGTCAATCTTTTCAACATTACTCCAACCTCATCAAATCCCACAGATACAGCTATCATATATTTTATATGGTGAGTGTATYCTTACTGCAGCCTCGAATCCCTTCAAATTAGGAGTTAAAACAGGATATGACACAGAAGGATTCCTCTTAATTCCTTTCATGACTTCAGAATGATCAGCCATCTGTAAAATAATATATACCGGTTAATAGGCATTTTACGAGTGAGCCCTTATTTCAACAGTGTGTCCTATTGAGCCAAAAGGYTAGTAGATCCCTGCATTCAAGTATTTCATTAAAACCAGACCATAGTCTGGGCCATGTTCATGCTCGCCTTATAATTCAGCACTTGTTTTGGGTCCTCAAGCAGGGGAACATTGGGGATCTTGCAGCAATGTCATTTATTCAATGTCTGGCTAGAATTGGAACTCGTTTGGCCAAATCTTTGCCATGACCAGTCATGTTGAGCCAGAAATGATGTATGACTGAGCTAAAACTAATTTGGCTGCTGACCAGCCATCATACAGTTTACTATATGAAAAAACAGGCTCTATTGGAATACCTGTGGTACCCACTTAGGAGACACAAAACTAGTGGSTTCAACAGCAGTCAAGCCAGTCTCTGATAACATGTTGATGAGCTTGATTTTTGCTTCCGTTGGTACAGTAACCTGAAGATAAGGATATTGTAAGAAAAAAAAAAAAAAGAAATCCTTGAATGAATGAAATTTTTTATTTCATGAGGATAACGCATGACAGTTATAATTTAAACAATCATATCGATGACCCAGTGGCCTTCAACCTGAACCTGAAGGTAGCTGGCAAACCTTGAAAAGCTGGCCACAATATGGCATATCAGCAAGGACAACAATGGTGGCCGAAACAGGCAGGAGAAGCTTTTACCAGAGGATTTTAAAACAAATGTATGGTAATAAGGTACAACCCTGTATTTATCCCTGTACCAAATTCCCCACCCCCTCCCCCCACCACCGATTCCCTTGCATTYAATTAAAATTCCCGATAATTTCTATTCTATTTTTGGATTTTTTTGGATTTTTCTTTTTTGGAACACTTAGCAAATCAGCTCATCYGTTCTCATACCTTTTCATTTTGTAGTCCATCTCTAGGTCCAACCTCTACTATTTTGACAGTTTTTTGATTGGTCTGGGATGCACTTCTTATCGAAGCAAGCACCTAACGCAAAGAAAAGATATTTTTGAATATTTGTTTTGGTTTTCCATATTTAATTTCAGCACAAACAACATTTCATGACCATAAAGTAGCTTATTGAATAATTTTGACACGTTTTATGCTTTTTCCCTGATTACAAACACGTAACTTACGGGAGACTGTCTTGATAATGGCGATCTTTTAATCAAACCACGTAAAATTCTCATCTTTATTCTAAAGAAAAGTCAACCTTTGAACATTTTATATTTCCAAGTTTACCGAATACAAGACGAAAAAATATCGACTGATTATCGACTKTTTTTATTTCGTTACCAAACTCCTCGTTGCCTCCTCGGAAATAGAGTCGGAACTACTTCAGACTGAATTAATTATTCGGAATGTGTTTTCACTTTCGTTCATTTCCATACAAAAAGCGAAGCAGCTGAGACATAAATCCTATTTACTGCAAAACTAAACTCGCAAATCACCATGGAATGGCACAGTCCTGTGATTCAGCCTCTCCTCACAGACTTCTACCAGGTCACAATGGCCTATGCGTACTGGAAGAGTGGAAAAACACACGATATAGCAGTGTTTGACTTGTTTTTCAGGAAGAACCCATTCAGCGGAGAGTTCACTGTGTTTGCAGGATTAGAAGAGTGTCTGCACTTCTTAAAGACCTGGAAAATCACTGATCAAGGTAGTTTAGTGATTTAATACTATGAAATATTACTAGCAAGGGACTGATCTAGTAATTCCTAAATTATAACAAGATTAAGAGCAAAAAATATAGTGTAATTCTTTTAATTATCTCCATAAGTTACATGCTTCGACACCTAAATCGCACTTAATGAAAAGTTTATTAAATTATAAACCCTCACAATGTAAAATCARAATTCTTATAATACTTTAATTCTTGGTGTAAATGTTTTATCACATATATAAATGCTATTTAATTAGAAAATTTCAAGMTCTGTGTTTGGAGGAAGCACTGGCGGTTTAAAATATAAGACAACGTTTATGCAATTTTGTACACAATTGAGAGATTACTACTATGACAATAGGTYATGCAATTGTTTTAGGTGCGGCATTGTATGGAACCTCCTAATATGTTGAGTTGAGTAATGATTTTTTTCTTTAAAACTMTGCGATCAGAATTTTTTTCTTCAAAAAAATGAGTTAGCTTCCAGGAATTTTGCAGACCTGCTGAATTCCAAGAAAGATCACCATTTTTCATCAAATATTCWGTTATTGCAGATTTGTAAATTATTCATATGAAAACAAGGGGAGATAAATTTTAGGAACAATAAGATATTCAATCAGACCTTTAAGATCATGATTTTTTTGTACTTTTATGAACTATTTCTATTCCATACTGTTTTATTAATTATTATTTTCATCTACTSTATTTCATTCTGACCTGKATATTCTATTCTTTCCTATCCCATCCCATTCCATAATATCCTATCCCATCCAATTCCTACCATTCAATCCCATCCAATCCCATCCAATTCCTACCATCCAATCCCATCCTATCCCATCCAATTCCTACCATCCTATCCCATCCCCTCCTATCCCGTTGTATCCTATTCTATCCCTTCCCATCCGATCCTTTACTAGTCCATCCCATCCTTTTCTATTCCATCCCGTATCCTATTCTATTTTATCCTATTCCATCTCATCCTTTAATATCCTAAACTCTCCTATCATATTCTATTCTTTCCCATCCTGACTTCTATTATATATCATATTCATATTCCCATCCCATCCTATCCTATCCTGTCATGTTGTTTCCTATCAATCCCATATTTATCATGTCCTAGCTACTTTACTCTACTTCACCTTTTATCATTGCATGTTTTACATTCTATCAGTTACAATATTCTGTTACTTTACTGTTTTTCTTCCCACCATCTGACAGGCTTGCCATTATTTTCAGACGTCTCCTACTTGAGAAAACAGCTCCCAGCCACCACAGAAGATGAGTTCTTCACATTTCTGAAAAACATTGACATGAGCTGTATAGAGCTGTGGTCAGTCCCAGAAGGCTGTATCGTCTTCCCAAAAGTRCCCCTCATGAGAGTCCAAGGTCCCTTACCAGGTGTGTCCATCATGAAGTKCAAAACTATGCTTAGACACAAGAGACAAATTTTTTATTGTCAGGGTGAGAAGAAGGGGGGATSGATTGAGAAAATAGCTTTTAAAATGCTTTTTTTCTCCAACTCCCCAATTTTTTGGTAACCATTGTTAATTTTGGAGACTGTCCTTCATACAACTCATCAATTATTTCAAGACCCTCCTTTTCAGGGTCACATAGCCTTCTGATGAGATAAGATTTTGCCATGCGATTGTTGCAAATGAAATAAGAGGAATTATGTAGGAAGCACAGAAGGGTGTGCTGCTAATGTGCAGTAATAGGTTATAAATAATCGTGAAACCAAACCTGACATAAGTTTACATTATTGTTTCTTTTTTAGTTGTTCAATTACTGGAGACATCCCTTCTTACCCTAGTGAATTATGCAAGGTTTGTATTCAACTTTGTAAAATTTCTACAGTCATTACAATCAAATAGTATACCTGTGGACATGAATACAAATAAAAATCAAGGGTGGTTTAGTGGCACTGCACTAGCTTACCTCACCTCTTTGGTCTTAGGTTCAATATTAATTTTGTGTACTCACATTTGAGCATTTGAGTTAAGTTTGTTTGKTCTTTCCCTTGGTTCAAGAGTTTTTCTCAAGTTTTTTGTTTCTCCCCTCAAAAATCCAACATGCTAAGACTAATTTCATTGGTGGTTTTAGCTGTGCCCTGATTTAGTTCAGCCCAGAGGATGTTTTAAAAATGATACCTCACTAAGTCAAGACTCTTGGGTAATACCCTCATTGATTATTTAATCTTCAAAGCTTTTTTGGCATGTACTGATCTAATACTACTAACTATTTCTTGTTCTACTTGTCTAAATAATAGCTTGGTTACAACCAATGCAGCAAGATTTAGATTGGCTGCTGGTTGGGATAAAACTCTCCTAGAGTTTGGTCTCCGCAGAGCACAGGGTCCCGATGGAGGTCTTTCTGCCTCAAAGTATTGCTACATGGGAGGTATAAATACTATGGTTGAGTTTATTGCACTCACTCACAAACAATGTTCAGGAATGTGGTAGGGGCAGATCTAGGGGAGGGGTGCAGGGGAGCGCACCCCCCTCCCCCCACTAGATGAGCTGGTGTTTAAGTTTGGAAGCAAAGGGTGCACCCCATCATAAAACGAAAATCCTGGATGTTGCACCCCCCTCCTTGAAACATTCCTTGATTTGCCTCTGTATGGTATGTAGGAAGTAACATGTAAGTGCGAAAGAAGTAGAAGTGATTTCAGCATATTCTAAGTGCTGTAACTTGAACCTTGAATGTAAGGTTTCCCAACTTTAGAACATGTGTCATTTTCTTCTGAATAAAATTCTTTTTTGGATTGTATCCACATTCATTTTTACCATAACTTGGAAAATTTCTTGTGCATTGATTGGCTTAGAACAATTGTCAATTAGATGCTAGACAGTGCTTGTGCTTACGACATCCATCACTAGGCTTATGGTTCCACTTGAGTTTGGAACATTTTTGATGTCATTTTATGTTCGATTACAGTACAGACCCATAGAAAACTGACTTCGATTTGTTAAGTGTCTTCTAATGCACAAAATGAAACAAAGAAATAATACTCTAGGTAATGACATGTGGTCTGAAATGGGATGTACAAGAGTCTATTTAATCCTATTTCTGACACTATGTATGACACTTTATAGGGTTTAATGGCACAAGTAATGTTTTGGCTGGCAAACTGTTTAATATTCCAATCAAAGGTACCATGGCTCATGCGTTTGTCACTTCCTTTAATGGYCARGAAAAGGATACTGTTGGGACTCTACAACCTGCCAACAAGAATGAARAACCTAGGGAAATATTCCCTGAAATTGAAAAATGGCTTAAGGAAATAGCACCAGTTCTAGGTGTTGTTGAAGAYGAGGTGCGAATGGGAGAGCTTGTGTCTTTTGCTGCATATGCRGTAGCTTTCCCAGATTTTTTCTTGGCTTTAGTTGATACCTACCATGTTTTAAGGTATGTAAAGTCTGGCGATTAAGACACACCTGTCCAGTAAAGATGGACCAGCCAGGAGTTCCTGATAGGGGAAAAGTGTGCCGGTGGTTCATTTTCAAGGCAAAGGGTACAGAGGATGGGTGGGAGTGTGGGTGGCTGGCTGGATGGATGGATGGGGGGATGGATGGATGAACCCTTACACTTGTAACATATCATTTTTCCCCATTATGAATACATTTTTATCTTCCTCTACACAATATTTTCTTGAAGAGTGCAATATAAAAGTCTAAAAATCCATTAATTTTCTCAAATACAAAAGTCTAAAAATCCGGTAATCCATGATAATCTTTCGATCCAGGAGTGGAGTTCCCTGCTWCATTGCTGTCGCACTTGCACTTGAAAGTTTTGGCTACAAAGCTATTGGAGTGAGATTGGATTCTGGCGACTTGGCATACCTCTCCAAAGAAGTCAGAAAATGTTTTGAAAAAGTAGCAGATCAGTAAGTTCATTTTAAAAATTTTCTTATAACTTTAAGGTTTCAAAAGAACTAAGTGGCAGATCATAATGATTCCAAGAGGGGTGGCTGGCACATATCTTTTTTGGAGGTTTTATCTTATCCTTCATTCCATTTTTTTAAATCCAATATTGGGAATTGAATTGAATTCTTTTATGTAAAATGATCACATTTTTCCTGCTATCCAACATGGCTGCCGTGACGTGCTGGTGTAAAGCCTCTATAGGGGATTCAACAACCCCATTGGATTCACCATTAGTATTGGTAGTGAAATATTAAAAACTTTTCATTTGTGGTAGAAAAAATTTTCTAGAAAAATGTCATCTATGAAATCTTCCTTATCATTCCTGAAAAAAATATTTCTTGTCACCCATTATAAAATTGCCCAATACCTTAAAGTACACTTCAAATACAAAATGAAATACTTCAATGTGTTTCGTATCAAACAGCTTATCGAAGCCATGGCTTGTCAAAAGCATCATTGTTGCCAGTAACGACATTAATGAAGATACTTTACTCTCATTAAGACAGCAGGTAAGTTTGTCACTCCATTTGTCACTCCATTTGTCACTCCATTTGTCACTCCATTTGTCACTCCATTTGTC